CCCCCTCCCCTATCTCTGTCACCTCCTCCATCCCCCTACATCCCCTCCCTATCTCTGTAACCTCCTCCGAGATCTCTGCACTCCTCCAATCCTGGTCTCTCAAGCACCCCCTTCCCCCCCCCACCCCCACCCCCACCCCCGATTCCCATCCCTCCTTCATTAGGCGGCCATGCCTTCGGCTGCCTTTGGAGTATGGTCCTGAGCTCAGGAATTCCCTCCCTATGCCCCTTTCTCTCTCTCTCTTTGATTAAGATGCTCCTTAAAAGCGATCTCTGTGACCCAGCTCTCTCAGTTGCCCTGTCTCTGATATCTTGTGATGTCGTTGTCGTGTCTGTTTCCAGTGTTATCCGTTTTTGATCAAGAATTTCTTGACAGTTGTCCTACATTTGTTTGCTTACTTGTTAACGTTTGGCTATTTGTTGGAGATTCAGCTTGTGGCAGTCTGGGAGGGCTTGAATCAGACCTGACAATCTCAAGCCTCGCTCTGCAGGAAGGTGTCAACTGTTCAGCTTTTGAGCAAGGCTGTGATGCCACCCCTAGGCAAATAGTTTCAAATAGTTTCACCCACAAAGGAGGGTCATTCGGCTTAAGGCGCTTGGAGACTCAATGGGAGGGAATGTAGTAAAGGAAAAAATATTCACATTTACATGAAGTTTCGGGTCTAGACCCTTCTTCAGAAATGGGGGAGGGGAAGGGGATTCTGAAATAAATAGGGAGAGAGGGGGAGGCGGATGGAAGATGGATAGAGGAGCAGATAGGTCCCTTTACAGAACACCTACGCTCAGTTCGCAACAAACAACTGCACCTCCCAGTCACGAACCATTTCAACTCCCCCTCCCATTCCTCAGACGACATGTCCATCCTGGGCCTCCTGCAGTGCCACAACGATGCCACCCGAAGGTTGCAGGAACAGCAACTCATATTCCGCTTGGGAACCCTGCAGCCCAATGGTATCAATATGGACCTCACAAGCTTCAAAACCTCCCCTCCCACTACCGCATCCCAAAACCAGCCCATCTCGTCCCCGACTCCCTAACCTGTTCTTCCTCCCACCTATCCCCTCCTCCCACCTCAAGCCCCACTCCCGTCTCCTACCTACTAACCTCATCCCGCCCCCTTGGCCTGTCCGTCCTCCCTGGACTGACCTATCTCCTCCCTAACTCCCCACCTACACTCACCTTTACTGGCTCCATCCCCGCCTCTTTGACCTGTCTGTCTCCTCTCCACCTATCTTCTCCTCTATCCATCTTCTATCCGCCTCCCCCTCTCTCCCTATTTAGCGGCTCACCCCCAATCTTCTCCATGTGGGAAATTGTAGGGGACGGGGCAAATAAATACTGGGCCCAGCCAGCAACACCCACATCTCCGCAACGGATGACATGACTTGATATGTTCAATTACATCAGAAAATCACGTAGGAAATATTTGCTGATTGTGTGTGCCTGTTGAATTCAAAGTTTCCTAGCAACAACGTGTTCTGTACATTCTGTTCTCAGCCACTGACGTGTTAATAGGTCTCCATTCTCTCTTGAAGCCATTTAACCTGTCTTTCAAGAACTTGAGTATAGGAGTTGGGGACGTCACGTTGAGGTTGTACAGAACGTTGGTGAGGCCTCTTCTGGAGCACTGTGTCCAGTTCTGGTTATAGGAAGGATATTATTAACCTGTACAGGATTCAGAGAGGATTTACCAGGATGTTGCCAGGAATGGAAATATTAGGAGACGCCGGGACTTTTATGACTGGAGCATAGGAAGTTGAAGGATGACCTTATAGAGCTTTATAAAATCATGAGGGGCATGGTGTCTTGTTCATAAAAGGGGCAGTTCAAAACTAGGGGGGGCGAGAGGAGAAAGATCTAAAAAGGACATAAGGGGAAAATTTTTTACGCAGGGAGTAGTTCGTGTGTGGAATGAACTGGCAGAGGAAGTGGTGGATGAAGGTGCGGTTACAACATTTAGAGTCACAGAGTTGTACAACACGGAAGTAGACCCTTCGGTCCAACTCATCCATGCTGACCAGATACCCTAAATTAATTCAGCCAGAATCTATTCGGCCTCTCCCTGTAGCTCAAACCCTCCAACATCCTTGTAAATCTTTTCTGAACCCTTTCAAGTTTCACAACATTCTTCCTGTAGCAGGGAGACCAGAATTGAACGCAGTTTTCCAAAAGTGGCCCTAACCAATGTCCTGTACAGCTGCAATATGACCCTCCCAACTCCCTATACTCAATGCACTGACCCATAAAGGCAAGCGTACCAAACACCTTCTTCACCACCCTGTCTACCTGCAACTTCACTTTCAAGGGGCTATGAATCTGCCCCCACAAGGTCTCTTTGATCAGCAACACTACCCAGGACCTTACCATTAAGTGTATAAGTCCTGCCCTGGTTTGCCTTTCCCCAAAATGCAGCACCTCACATTTATCTAAAGTAGGTATAGACAGCAGGGATCGAGTGAATCCCTAGAAGGGTATAAGGGCAGTAGAGTATATATATAGAGTCATACAGCACAGAAACAGACCCTTCGGTCCAACCAGTACATGCCGACCCTTATCCCAAAATAAACTAGTCCCACCTGCCTGCTCCTGGCCCATATCCCTCCAAACCTTTCCCATTTATGTACTTATCCAAATGTCTTTTAAACGTTGTAACTGTACCCACATCCCCCGCTTCCTCAGGAAGGTCATTCCACATGCGAACCTCTCTCTGTGTAAAAAAAATTTCCCTTCAGGTCTTTTCTCTTAAGTCTCTCTCTGGGAAATCAGGAGGGCAAAAAGAGGGCATGAGATAGCTTTAGTAAGGGAGGTGAGGGAGAATCCTAAGAGATTCTACAAATTCATTAAGGATGAACGTGTGGAGGGGGGCTGGCACAGTGATAGAGCCACATTGACACCGGGATAATTGCCCCATGCCCACTGAAGGGGCATTGGCAGCTGGCAGAGCGCAGCACTCACCTTCTCTTGGGACCTTCAAGCGCCCGGGGAAATGATGACGGAATTTTTTTTTAAAGAAAAGACCTCATCCAACCACAACTTCCTGCAGAAAGTTAGTGATGACATAGTGAATATCATCCGAACCAAACTCACGACCTTAACTTCCATTCCTTTGCAAACATTTCATTCAGCTCGACTCTTTAATTAACCTCGCAAAAAAACAGATTCTTTGGTGCTACTCCAGGCTGGTTAACTTTCCAAACCACCACAGGCTTAGCCACTCAGAGCTGAATTATAGTCCAGTCGGTTTGCAGTGAGATTTCGAACCAACTTTCACCTTTACCCACTGCCTGGCCATACCATGCGCACTGCTCCCCAGGGCTCGGACCACAACCCCCTGCCCCGGGCAAGGCAAATGAACCCACAGCCCCCGTTGGTGGGCCGATGGGAATCGGAGGACGTTCAACACTTAACATCAAAGACGCACAGAGACCTCAGAGGGGTGTAGGAGGTGACAGAGATAGGGAGGGGGTGTAGGGGGCTGGAGGAGGTGACAGAGATAGGGAAGGGGTGTAGGGGGGTGGAGGGGGTGACAGAGATAG